TTGTACCATCAAAGCGGTAATGGCAGTGGGACCTACAAATTTTATATATTACATAAGCGCAATTTTCGTTGTCGTGAGAATACAAGGCAAGGCAAGGAAAGACAAGACAAAACGTACCGACCGTTATATCTTTACAAGTTCCAAAGATTATATATACAAAGCAGCCCATAAATGCCGAATACAATCCATATTGTGGTAACAGTCCAGCTACCGTAGCATAAGCAATAGCTTGCGGTATAGCAGTTAAACCTACTGTCAAGCCCGCTACAAAATCTGACATCAGGAACTTTGAATTATATTTGGGTAACCACACGAGTACAGGGAATACATTTTTCATAGTATTGACCGTGCAACGCTTTTGCGAATAATTTTTGATTTTCTCACAAATATTGATTTCATTTTCATTGTAGATTTTCTCTGCAACTAAGTATTGAAATACCTATCCCTGAACATTACGTTTTCCCTTCCATTTGTTATAAAATAGCAAATGATTAGTGATGGGATAAAACTTCTTACAACGTTTATTGGTAAAGCAAAATAATTATTATTTATGTTAATTTTTAAGAGTCGAATACGATCTTAGGAATATTATATATAATTTCCAAGACTTCTGATCTGATCTAACTGAGAGAATAATTCGGAAGATCTTCTTTTATGAGTTCAATAAGGGCGACAAAGTAAATTGCTAGGGGAACGCGTACGTGGAGAGGAAGTCAATATTGGCGATCGCCTCAGAATTTTTGAGTTCGAAAAATTACAAAGTCAATTAAAAAGAATCCGATTGAGATACGTGACAAGCTTACGATTTAACTACGCATTTGTTTGCCTTTAAATGATAACGAGCCACTCAACGACAATCCGCCTATTTTTCCGCCTTGGTTTCGGGAACAAAAGTTTAATGATGAAAAGTAAATGACTTTCTAGTAGAAGCGTGACGTAGGCGGCAAATAAGGAAGAAGGCGACACAGTTCTTCTCTCTTCTCCTTTAGTCGAGATACAAATAAGAATAAGCTAGAGTTACTATGAGATCAAAGTCAGAGCTTGGAAAGGAACGTTCTCCCTTCCTTCTCTGAGAAAATGTTTCTT